CTTCACTGAGTTACGCAAGCCCCTTCGCCACGACAAGGCAGTGATCCATGAAGGGGCACTGCTTCATTAGCATACGCTAAACATCAAAAGTGCATTAATTTGCTCCACAGTATTTTGTGTGTGTGCGTGCGTATATACAGATATATAAACAACTTTAAAAAGTAAACTATGTAAATGTAAAACTCCAGTTAATTTGTAACAGTCTTACAGTAACTTAAGATAGAACACACGGAAAAGTCTTTCTTGTGAATTAAAAAATATAATGGCATCCTAATTATATTTGCAATGTTGGATTATTACCATAATCAAGATTTATGGAAATAAAATATTAATTGGTTGAAGACTTCCTGGGAGAAAGTCTTTAACAGACTAATAATTCTGGGTGCATTCAAGTATATTAAATATGAACTACTGACTATTGTACTGAATCATCTTCTCCGGATCCATGATCCTATATTATTCTTGTGTAGCCCTCAAATAAGTAACCAATTAATACTGAAATTGTTGGCTTAGAACCATTTAGCAAAGAACAGAAGGGAAAACCTTTAATTTCCTTTCTCAATTTTTTTCACCCCCATATATAAGTTTTTAAATATCACTTCATTTATGAGCAGCATGTAGCTTAAATTCTAATTCTATAACTTCACATGTTTGAATGTTAAGGTGACTTGAGTGAAATAAATGTCACACTGAATTTTTACAAGCAATTACTTCTAAAAATAAAACAAGGAGCAGTTCTACTTGAATCACTGCAGACAGAACTGAAGCAGCCACAGCCCACCTCCCCTAGATCCCCAACATTAATGCTGCCTGCACCCTCCCACATCCTATTCTCCATCTAAGGGGAGGTGGGAAACTCTCCTGGAGGAAGAACAGCACAGAGAAAAGGACTCAGACAAGAGCAGGAGAGGCTGGGCTGATAAGAAATAAAGCTATTATTTCCCACCTGGCTGATGGGGCTGGTAACCAACTGTATGTTTCTGTAGAAGGAAAAAAGCAAGACTTATACCCATATGACTTCGTTATATAGTCACTGAGAGTGGAAAATCAGCTTAAAGATAAAATATGAATGATTGGTAGAGGGTAACCATAAAAATAATTTAATACTAATTAGTGTACTGTGACTTTTAGTCTCACTTTTGAAGAAGTTTTATTTACTAGCTGGCGCTGCCTCAAAGAGTCACTTTTCTGCAAACTTTGTCAAATTCAAAGCATATAAACACAATCCCAATCTTTGTGGAATTTCCTATAATGATAACAGCACAGCCATGAAAGAGACGTCACCTCATAGAGGATTGAAGAATTCAAGGATACCTAGAAGTCATTCAAACATTTTTATTCTTCGTTACTACTATAAAGAGGGAGGTGGTGCATGAAATTCCAACACAGCTGGTAACAGCAGCCCATGCAAAAGATCCTGCTAAGTATTGCACTTAGCTGCAAGAGGATTAAAAGCTCCCCAGCTCCCCTGGAATGTCATATCCCTGTAACAATTGGGTATGTTATTTTCATTTTCAAGCTTTAATATGGAGGGGAGAACTTACAAAATGCTGAGGTTGATTAAGAGGAACAGCCTCTGCTAGAGAGACCTCCAGTTTCAGCTGCTGAAGTACATAAACTAATTAGGCAATTAAAACCCAGAAAAGTACCCCTGAACTGATACAAACCTACTCTGAGAGGTGGGCTCTAGTGTTGGCTACATTTTTCACTTTCATCAATAATACAATCTCTATTCCTAGAGACTGAGGCACAGCCATAATTATCTGGAAGGGAAAGATGGTCCATCCAGCCAATTCCCACCCAATGATCCTGGTTAGCATAATTAGTTAGATCTATGCCAGACACCTTTATTGGAAAATCTTAGACTGGCTAGAGGGACAGACATCCTACTGAAGGAACAGGTAGAATTTTGGGCAGGTTGATTCAAAGGTCAAGGACTCTCAATTGATTGAAAAATATACTCAGCTGCCTAAGTCAGCCCTTTTTGCCCTATTTGTAGAGCTCAAGCAGGCTTTTGACTCCATCTCCAGAGAAATCCTTTGGAATAAACTCAAAGCATCTATAACTGATAGATGGTTACTTTCCGTTTATATATGCACTTCATAAGAACACCAGTTTGAGAATGAGGACTGGTTTAATACTGTAAATTACATTAATCTTACTTCATTTCAAATTCAGTTTTATCCATTAATAGCCATGTTATATATGACATAAATTCAATGTATACTTCTCTAGTATAAAAATAATTGTTTACATTCCTCAGTTTGATATATTGCATAATGTTAAAAAAATGTGTACCATTCCATATTTTTATTCTTTTTTAAAATAAATCTTTATTTTAGAAGAATGCAAAATATAAGCAAAATACCAAGGTACATGAAAATAACAAATTAAATGAAGCAATCCTTAACAACAATCCTGAAACTTTAAAAAAATGATAGGAACCAGAAAAAGGAAAGGAAAGGAAAAAACAGACAAACTAAAAAAAAAATCCATCCTAGGGTTTCTACTACATGATGATAGAAGTGGGATCAGATGGGCACTAGAGGGTAGCCTACAGTCCATTTTCTCAGGGAGTCCTTTTCTTGCTACAAATCCATCTGCCCTTTAAGATCCACAGGAGAGTTTTCATTCACATTGCTCCCAAACTATGACATCCAGTCCCAAAGAAATTGTGTTTAATCATTGCTCTCTCTGCCTTTACAACAGCAACCAAGATGCATCTCTTTCATCAGGCCTTCAGTTTGAATTATTATTAATTTTAACCCTGGTTTTAGTTTTCGTTGTTGTATTTTAGCCATTGTTAGGCACTTTCAGTGTTCAAGGGAAGATTATAAATCCAATAAATAAAAATAAAATGAAATGGGTTTATCATTGCAAGCCATTTTATTTAGGGTTTAGTTTCAGCTACGATATTATCTGCAGTGCAGTAACTCAGCACTAGTTTAATATATTTGCTGGAACAAGTTCTGCTAAGCAAGCTCTAGTTATCCAAGGGGAAGAGAAGAAATATTCCTAAATGAACTATTAAGGTATACCTTGTGATTATATAGCTAAATGTTCTCCTTCATAATGTTCAGAATTGTATCATAGGGATTCCTAACATGCTATTTCTTCATAGCTTCTTCTATATAAGCCTACAAATAGCTTCACATGATTTTCACTATTTAGATATCAATTCCCATACCTCTAGAAAGGTTCTCAGGAGGAATGATGATACACTTGGATATAACAGGAGATATAATTCCATATTTCTTTATACTGGGCTGCAGGACTCGGTTTAATATATGGAGCCTTTTTTAATTTGCTTGTTGTATAGGGAGTGCTAAGAGGGGCAAAAGGATCAGATTTTCTTGCTCTAAATAAAAACAAAAAATGGAACAAAACAAAACAGAACATTGGCAGTTTAAATCATGCAAAGTTCAGTTCCCAGGCTCAGCCCTAGTGACATCCAATGTACTTGTTCATTTTGTACAAGGATATCTAATATTATTTCTAAAATACAAAAACATACTGAATATCTTTAACACTATATTGCCCTTCGTTAGGAAATGTGTTCTGTAATAAAATTGTGAGGCTATAAGAAAATGGAGATTAGATCAACCCTGAAATATTGCAGGGTGTTAACCCTAAAATGATTCGATGATCTCTTCTTAATGCTAATCAACTATGTTCATTTATAATTCTGGATTATCCATCACCTTTTACACAAATAGCATCTAAATATATGTTAGATATCGTTTAAAGGTTTAAATGCCATCATATGATCCATAAATATGTTGGAGGAGGCTGGCTGGGAATAATAATAAAAGTTTAGTCCAACACAGCTGGAGGTCACTAGATAAATGGAAGTAGGGTTACAATAATTCTACAGCAATGTGTAATTTCAGAATGTATTTTGCTTCTGCACAAAACACCATCTGTGGTTAATGTTGACACTTGGGACCATTATGCTAATTCAGGAGAACATTTTAGGACTAATGCACTTGAATCTTGGGTGTGCAGCAGCATAATGAGATCAGCAGTGCAATGCATTGTTCACTCAAAAGGACACTGCTTCCTTGATTCATGCAGCTTTTCCTCTATGATGAGTTCATTGGATTTTACTTTATGTGTTCTGTGTTGTAAGCTTTTCACATGTGAGCTTCATCAAAGACATAGGAATTGACATGCAGAAGAGCAGCCAAAGCTCATTTAATACTTTAAATCAAAGTAAATGGCATTAGACCAGGTTACAATAAGTAACATGGGAATATGAGACATGAGTTTTCTAGTATCTTGAAACTAAACAACAGTACAGGACTTTCAATACCTACATCAGATACAATAAACCCACAAGGCCTCATTTCTAACTTGCCAGATCTCCGTTTTCTATGAGGATTTCCCTATGTGAAGAAGCAAACCAAATTGTTTGCCTAGAAAACTGTACTGAATACCTAATTCTCCATCTGTCATTTCTCATAAGTAAACATTAAAGTAAAATTTTGAAAAATACATAGCATTTGTACATTATTAAAGTAAATAATCAGTGTCTATGAAATTCACCCAACTGTGTTAATAATAAATCCCATCATCTCTGAATACAAAGGGCAGTATATGGGAGTAAATAGTGAATGTGTTCTTTAAATAGAAATATATCTCATTAATATACAAGAACATAGTGGTTTAAATAAAGAGAGCTATCCCCTGAAACTGGCAAACAGGTCCATATCGAGACTGTTTTACGCAGATGATGGGGTAATCCTATTGCAGACACCAGTAAGACTGAGAAGGGTCATAAGGGGACTATCCCACTTTTGCAAAGATTACTTATTGCAAATCAATTAAAAAAGAAAAACTTCAACTCCCAGAATTCCCCAGCTAGCATGCGAGAGGTCCCTAGTTTATCTCAGTTTCCTGCCACTTTCTGAGGCTGAACCATTGGCCCAGCTCCCATATGTACAAATTAATTTCTTACAAAAGCTGCTCCAGCTAGCAAAATACATAGCCCTAGCGTAGCCTTATGGCTGGAGGCAAGGCTGCTGAGGGTTGAGACAAAAGCACGGCTAAATATTGTCAATGGCTGGCTAAAGATGAACCTTCAGCACTTCAGCTGGACCTCTCTTATCTTGCTAGAGAAATTCCAATCTACCTGGAAACAGCAAATTGGAGACCAAGCTCAGAATGCTGGTTTTCCACGAGAGGCTCTGCTGGCACCGGGACAAGATCAGGCTATGACTGCTCTTAGGCCAAGGATCCTTGATACAGAACTGCAAATAGAATACAGCAAACTACCAGCTAGAATACCAGAGGGACCTAGTTAAAATCTGTTTCAAGCCAGCCCAGGATCTCAACCAGCTCGCAATAAATAAATTCCACAGAGCCTTTACGTTGTTCCACGTCTTGCCATTAGCTATAGCGGAGAACAAGTTTCAGAATCCTCTGTATGCAGGGAGGACTTGCCCCGGTCAATCTGACAACAGTGAATCGCTGGAACCTGGGTTGCTATATTGTCACGTCTAAACAGAGAGGTCTTGTGAGCTTCTAATCAATTCTTAGGCCATTTTCCGGGCGATCAGATGATTTTTATGGAAAACTCCTGGCAAATAAAGACTCTAAAGCAAAACATGCTGTTGCTAAGTTTGCATTTGTAGCCTGCAGAATTCATGCTTTACAAATGGAAAATCAATTTGGATTACTGGCAGTATTGTGTAGACCAGAGTATTGCACGAAGCATTAGAGTGCTGCATTATTCTTACCTCATTTTACTGTATTTTACTTTAAATGAAAAATGCTGCCTAGAACACTGCATGGACATATCCATATACTTGCCAGGAGTCAAGACTGACTTGAAGAGAAAAAAGAAAATAATGCCAGAGATCTTCTTTATAACTTTTAATGAAAACTAGCAGGCTAAAGTAAAATGATTTGTCTCCTGTTCTGCTGACTTTTTGTCAAAATGTGATTGCAAAGCCCTGCAGAAGGGATTATAGAAATTATTCCAATCTAACTCACTCCAGGCATTTTCAGATCTGAAGGACTACACAGAGAATAAGTGACCAGGAGGGGTAGCGTTACAGTGGCTAATCCTGCTCCGAGGGTCATCTGTCCATTGGACTTCAGAACGGAGCCCCATACCTACAGCTGTACATGTGGGGCACCCATGGATGATGGATGAATCCTGACACCTTCCTCCTATACAAGCTCCTTAGCACACATACTTATCTAAATAACTCCCCCATTACAGTAAATGGTAGGAATAGAAACTTTCTTCCTTTCTGCATTATCTTCCTTGAAATGTATTTGAATCCATATTCCAGTAATGATCTGGATGAAAGCTGGAAATGGGAAGGTGATCCCTATCATTGTTCTGTGCGCAGTCTCTGCACATGTTACTCTATATTCTATTATATTTGATCCAGAAATTTTTCTTCTCCAACTTATGGAAGTTGCATAATTGCATAACAACAGGACTTTTCAATTCATTTGCCATCTCTTCATATATGCAAAATGACAAGAATTGTTTGAAAATCAGTACTAAATAAATATAAAGGATGCCAATAACTATTGGATTAACTTTACCTAGGAGACACTGCAGAAAATACACAGATTTAAATAAAAAAGTGGAACAGTCACCAACTTACATTATTCATGTACTCCGAAAGAAGGTCTTGAAGAGCTTGGCGAATGGCGTTACACTCAGTGATGATGCGCTCACGGTGAAGATCACGGGTACAGGAAGAATCTGCTAATAAAGCAGCTCCACTGATAATTCCCTCTAAACGTTTTTCAAGTGATGGCCTTATCTGGTCTTTATTTACAGTAAGAGGATCCAAGGCAACCAAGTTCTAGGAAACAAATTAAAAGGAATATAAAACAAGCTCAGATTAAACTCTAGGAAGACATAGACAATGGTCATCCATAAACATCTGGGCAATCTAGAAACATCAGCTCCAATGATAGCTTCATATAGGGTTGTGCTCCCACAGAGGACAGTTACTTGAGGGTTTTTCTGGATTGAAGAACAGCAGGTAGAGACTGTGTCAAGGAGAACCTTTGCCAAGCTTAGACTAGTGTGCCAAGTACAGTTGTACCTTGGTCTGGAAGCCCTGGTTATGGTGACTCAGGCCCTTATCATTATGCAGCTTGATTATTACAACATACTTTCCATGGGGGTGCCTTTGAAATCTACAGTTGGTACAGAATACAGTAGCCAGACTGCTCATAGCAAAATATAGCACTGATTAGTATTACTCATAGGCTTCCAGATCCAATTTAAAGTGCTGGTTATTACATTCAAATTCCTTTATATTGTGGTTTAGGGGTATATTAGGTACTGTCTTCTGTTAGGTTATCTGCTGTTGTTGTTACGGTCTATCAAGGCAACCCAGACTCCTGGTCACTGCAGAAACAAGTCCATGCAGTTTTCTTGCCAAAATTTTCAGCCATGCTTGTCAGGACTTATTCCTAGGACTGAGAGAAGATGACAGGCCCAAAGGCTGGCTTTTGTGCCTAAGGTAGGACTAGAAGTCATATAATCTCCCAGTTTCTAATCCAATGTCTTAACCTCTACACCAAATTGGCTTTCTTACATCATCTAGAGAGGGCCTACTCAAGGTTCTGCCTTCTCAGGAGATAAGGTCACAGACCATAAGGCACGCCTTCTCTAATTTTTTGGAACAACTTAACCTCTACCCCTCACCACCCCAAGGTGCACCTGGCACCCTTGTTACTGACATTTCATAATACTCTGAAAAAAGTCAGTTTTCAAAGATTGATTATGACTGGGCAGCCACTGGTCCTTGTTTTATGTGTGTTTGAGAGCTATATGCTATATGCTGGGGTGTTATTTTATTTTGCTTGGGAGATAGCTTTTATGATTTTTAGTACAGTTTTTAAGTGTTTCTGTACACCATCTAGAGTCTGGTGATATGAACAGTGTAAAAATACTATTAATAAGGAAATAAAACCATACTTTGGTCTTCTCATTGAAAGAGCTGAGCCTTTTCTGAACTGCAGCCTAACTATGGAAATTCTTCCTTAAGTAGATCATACTAGCTGCTTCTTTATTATAACTGAGATAGTATACTATAATTTATATCTAGTACTATTTGCAGTTCACATTTTTTTAACAGTGTCTAGTCATTTATTGTGGTGAATGAGCCAGTTTCTGTTTCTGTCTTCTCCTACTGACTCATAGTTTTACTATGCTTTCTTGCTATTTTTATTTTAATATTTAATTTCACTTCAAGCTCATAAAAGGAGAAGGGACAAAATTCACAAAGACATTGCCAGCATATTCATGCCAATCATCCTCATGTTTGAATGTTTTCCCCTGTTTTGGGATCTCTTTAACCTTCATTTTTAAAAATCAATAACAACAAAAATCAAGCAAGATTGAACATTCCTATTCAGATTACATCAAATTAGCCACGTCAGACCAACAGATAAACATAGTTTTGCATAGAATAAAAAAGATGAATCCATTTCAGGAAGATCAGCTTCATATTCATTGTATTAATCAGTGACAACTAAAATAGAAGTTTGGGTTTAGTCTGGAGTCCTTCTACATCAGAAGTGCAAACATACAACCTGTAAGTCTCATGCAGACTTTAAGCATCCCTCTTGCAGACCAAAATGGATATTTTAAGTCTAACTGAAGCTTAAGGAATCCATTTTACCTTTTAAATCTTCTACACAAATCAGGCCTAGTTTATGTTCTATCCCTGAATTGTAACCCTCAATATGCTTGGAAAATGTGGTGAAGCCTTCAGGCCTACCGAGTTACATCCTCTGTTCTAAATGATCCTAGACTACAACTCCCTTTGTTCCTGACCGCTGGTCATTCTATCTAGGGCTAGTGGGTGTTGAGGTCCTAAACCTTCTAAAGGAATTAAGGTTGGGGGAAAATACCCTAAGTGAAAAAAATAGAACATAGTAGGTTTTCCTTAGCTATTTTCATGATGTTATTTCACTACGTGACTGTGCTGGTTAACCCTACCATCTACCTATTTCAGCCTGGCTAACGGTTGGGGTGAGGGATTGCAAGTATTGGGAGTTGTTATTCCAGCACCAAGTTAAGGAAGGTTAGTTTACTCCCATTTTCAAGGTAGGAAATTTTTAAGATAATGGTAGGAAACAAGGCCCTTCCCTCCTCTTTGTATATTAAAAGAAAGTCTGAAAATCATTCTGAACAATCTATGGATAAATAACTTCACATTAAAGTTCTCCTCTGTTGTCAACCCATGATCAATATTTTGCATTCCATATTCATAGGAACAAGGTAACACTGATGCTATACTTTTTATATTGATGCTTTCAATATCAAGTGATAACTCTCTATTCCTCCAGGCTTTTAAAATACTTAAATGCTATTTAAATCTATTGGTTTGCAATTGTATTGGATGAGGACACTGAATAGCTACATTTCCTAGACATGCTTCCTGTTTTCAGGCTTAATCTGAGAGGCTAGACATAAAAGAAAGAATAGATGGAGCATACTACCATTCTTGTCCCCAGATACCGCCAGTCTTTGTAAATTACCCTGTGAATGTTACTTTTTAAGGTAATATCACATATGTCCCTAAAATAATAAAAACAGGTCTCATGGAAGTTGCTGGATCTTTTAGTCATTGCTGGGGAAAGATTTCACAAGTTAAAGAATCATGCTGCAATGAACAAACTGATCTTAGATGTACTTTTTTCAAGGACTGCCCACTTTTGACAGCAGCAGGAATACTGATTTCAGCTTCTGCAAACGTCAGATCTTTTGCTATTTTCTTTTATGTGATTGTGTAGTTTTTATTAAAAGTGCAGCCTCTTATAATAGGACAATTGCTGCCTGTAATGCAGAATTATTGGAATAAGACAGGATATATCAATACACAGATAAATACTAGGACTGTACAGTGCTTCAGCTTCAGTTTCCAAAATTTGCTTCCAAGTGTTCAGGGCCACTAATCAAACAGCTATCTCAACTCTTTAAAGCAACTCCATCTGTCATTAGGATCACACAGCTGCAAAAGGCAGCCAAGGAAAATACACAGCTGCTTTAAACAGCTGCTGACAGGTGCTACATTTGCACCGCTACAAACCTTTTTTGAAACTAAATCCAAAGCATTGCAGACTCCTAATATACATGATTTCACACTTCCTTCTGCTCCCAGGAGCTGTGGGTTCCGTATTCAAAATATGAATGTAAGGAAGCGGAGTATGCACTTTGTAAAAATATATTCTTTTCTTCTATGAACAACTGGAAAAAAAAATCAAGAGATTTCTTCTTCACTGCATTGCATGTGTGATTAAAGCATCAAACACTACTTCTCAATCCCAGTGTGATGTAGTTAATAATTTAATCTTATATGTGGGATGAATAACAGAAATACTGAAATTGGAAAGCAGAATCATTCAGCTTTTGCTTTCTTCAGCAGCTCTGATGAGTAAAATAACACAATGGCCAATGAGACAGTTACAGAATAGTAGAGGCATTATTTGAAATATTGGATTTATCTGAAGCAACAAAACTACAAACAAGTGAAGACTTTACATACATAGACATGATGCTGTAATACCATATACTGTAGATGACAATATATTATATAATTCATATAATTGGTAAGTTTGTAGGAAAAAAAACAAAGTGGAACTAAACGTTGATTCAGCAAATATTTTGGCTACTGAAATCTTTTATTCAACAAACATGTTTTATTATTTCAATATTTCTCTTTGTTGGTCGCTCTTGTGAATGTGTGTGTGTGTGTATTTGTGTGTGTGCATGTGTATATTAAACCTGTGAAATTCTATTTCTTCCAAAATGAAACAAGATAGCTTTGTTTATCAAAAAGCAATACCAACCACATAATATGGAAATTAAGCAGATCAGCCCTTAATTCATGAACATGCAACAGGCACTACAAATTCATAAAGTTATTAAATTTCTTTCATCATTACTTTTTTTCCTGGAACTTCTCACAGCAGGGTGAATATGGCTGATTGCAAAGGAAAACTGCACACTAGAAAGCAAGCTCTATTGGGAGTCTTTTCCAATTACAATAGAAATGCTTGAGAACTAGCAATATTTAATTAAAGAAGAAATATCTTTTGTTGTGTGTTCTTTCACAGAAGAAAATCAAATCATGGCATAACAGTTTAAACTTAATGGTGAGGAGGAGGGAGAATTTTGAAGAATTAGACCAGTGTTTCTCAATCCTGGCAACTTTAACATGCGTGGATTTCAACTCCCAGAATTCCCCAGCCAGCTTTCTGGGAGTTGAAGTCCACGCATCTTAAAGTTGCCAACGTAGAGAATCACTGAATTAGACTGTACACTTGTGCTACAATGTCAGAACAAACAAATTAAATCTCAAATGTCTTACAGGTGGAGGGCTTTACTCTGGCCCAAACCCAAGATTGTCACACACACTTGCAAGCTAGATGATCTGAGCAGAGAGGGTTTCTAGGAGGAAAGGCCCCATTATGATCCAAAGTCCCACTACCATCCAGTCCCTAAATCCAACTCTCAGGACTGCTTCCTCAGTATAGAAGAGGTGAGGAAGGACACAGCAGAAGGCCTATTCTAAACCTGAACTCTGTCATGAAATTTACTTCAGCACTTCTAGAAGCCAACAGCCACTGCAATGTGAGCCACAGAGGGACAGCCAGTTACTATGTTGATAAATATTCAGGTGGCATGTACTACTTACTATCAATATTTCCAAAACCTCTCAATCAGTCCATAACATTTCAAAGCTTGTCATGTTTAGGAACTGACACTGCAGTTTAATTTAATGCAAATACCACCTTACAATTCAAAACTCTTGGTGACATTTGTTAAGCTTACTCAGCCAGC